CAATTAGCTTAATTAAATACATTGTACTTCCAAGCTTTTTGTTTTTTAAGGTTTTTTAGTATTAAAAGTATTTCTGAATTAAAGCTGACCAGTTTTTCCCATGGGACATTTTGTCATGCATGTCATGGGACAAATAAAAAATCTGCCATGACATAAATAATCCTGAGGATAAAACATAAACCATGGCTCACCTGAGGCAAGGCTTCCCTGTGTAATTAACTACTCTGAGAGGCACTGTTGCAAAATATGTCTCCTAGCAGTCACAGAGGCTGGAGCTCAGGGGCTGACCTCATGCAGCCAAATATCTATTCATTGTGAAAAACAAACACAACACAAATTGCTGGAAATTTTATGGAAATTACCTTTTATTAATGGCTTTACTTTCTATGTGAAGTACAACTCTCAATTTTAAGAAAAGGTTTAGGACTTGTACCTAGTCAAATGTGTGTCTCTAGCACTTTTAAAATGTGACTAAGGAAGCTCAGAGTATCTGCAGGTTGCAGCAGCTAGCACCATCTACAGGATAACCTCAGAGCCGAGGATAAGTCAACCCTCAGCCTGTGTATGACCACGCCCTTTAGAATACTTGAGAAAAGGAAATCCAAGCTCAGGGCACAGTCTAGCCACAGCACTCCATTCACAATTCTGGGGCATTTCTTCTCATCTTTAAGGGCTCATATAATTACTTCAATTTCCTGTGTTTAGTATGCATAAATTTGTTATCTAGATCTCCCATGACCATTTCTTTCTTCTCAGTTCACTGTGTTCTTTCTCGCCAGGGCTTTGAAATGATTCTTCCCAGGGAATAATGTTCCAGGTGCACATCCCTATGGGATGAGAATCTTCTTAATGAATTGCAAACATACCTAGTACCCTTCGCCCCTGCCCACCCCCTCAAAATGTGATGATTTTGAAGTCTTGCTTAAGGAAATCCTTTTAACCTGTAGCATCAGATAAATATATGCTTTTCCTCAGTTACCAGTCAGTTTAGTTCTTAAAATATTTGTGACACCTCACTGCATATAATACTATCTTTGTTTTATCTACTTTTCAGTTTACTCAAATATGTGATCAGATTTGTCACCATGGGCCGGTAGTCTCAAGTACTTGAGAGGCCAATGCAGGAGGGTCACTTGAGTTCAGAATTTCAAGGCTAGCCTGGGCAACATAAGTAGATACAGTATAGGAAGTTATATTTTTAACTCAAGAAAGAAACAGTAACTAAGAGAAGTCATTTAGGAAGGCAGATGAGAAATACAAAAGGGATGGAAGAAGAAGAGAAGGGAGAGGAAGGGAGGGAGCAAGGAAGGAAGAGAGGAGCATTGGTGTCCATGTGTTTATATCTTACAGTTATGAGGCATGTATTAATCACCCATTAATATGGTTATGGCAAAGCTACGATATTTTAGGCTCATGTACCCATATGATGGCCCAGATATCTCTAAACTATGGCAAAATTACCCAAGTCAGCATGATTAGACTACATATCTATACCCTTTTCTGTATCACTGGTACCCAACTCTGTTTGGAATGCAGTGTGCATGGAGGCAAGCAAGGAAGACACTTGCCTCCTTTCTGTCCAGAGTACATGACAACATTTGTGCAGAATCAACAGTCTATCATCTGGGGCGGTTATTTATTGTATGCCTCTCTTTGCATGTAAAGGTCTAATAATCCTATCATCTACAGTTGTAATTCAAGCTCTTTGTTGAGCTTTATGTTTCTTAGTGCACAAAGCTCAGATCAGAAGCCAGGCTTGTAGCTCCTGGGTTCTGGATCACAGACCCAGCCTGCCACTTGTCTGAATGTCATATGACTTATAGTAGCTCCCAAAATAGCTACTTTCAGTTTAAAACTCAAACTGTGGTTTCAGAACCACATCAATGGAATCTGTATCCTTGGGCTTTGCGTCAATTGCAGAGAAAAGATGCCTACATTCTCATTTCTCTCTTTAATACAAAAATAAGAGGTAGTAAAATGATCAACATCATTGCTGCATAATTGCCTGCTAAAAGATTTCTAAATTTCCCGAGTACCTCCAAATGCACTGTCTGCTTCCAGCCAGGTGTGCCTGAACTCAGTTTACACTAGCCAGGAGGTTTACCATAGAAGTCATGCTTCATTAAGTCAACCAGAGCCTTGTGTGGGGAAAAAAAAAAAACAAAAACCAAAACCAAAACACTTAACTTCTCTGTTATTTCTCTGCATTTAATTTTCAAACATATTCATAATTGAAACATGGCTGTCCACTTCCTCTGTCAGTAGGAGAGGCTTTGGATTCATGCAGGAGTTGGCTAGAACCCCTGCATCATATGGAATTTAGTGTGAAATTGTCACATGCCCTTCTGCTCAACAGAACCAGCCTTTAGAAGCAGAATGACCAAGGTAAAAGACAGGACATATCACCAGATGTGGCTGCTTGACCACAATCCAGAACTATGAGCCAAAAAATAAATCATTTCTGGGCCTGGGAATACAGATGAGTAATAGAGTGCGTATCTACCCTGTAGAAGCCTGAGCTTCGGTACTCAGCCCCCCAAACCAAGGCAAAATGAAAACTAAAACATCTCTAAACATTAAAAATATTTATAATTGAAAAATATGCTTGGCTTGTTAATGTTAGTGCTGTGGTCCCTAGGAAATAGTGAACCACAGGCAACTCTGTGAAACGTCTGGTATTGTATTGTGTTCACACTGATGCACGGTGAAGCATGGACAGCAGCACATGATCTTTCAGATCACTGGAATCTCAAAGGACAGTTCAGGACAAGTATTCTGTGGTTTTCCTTTCTTCATGTTTTATTTCTAGGCTGACTCTGCACTTTAAGTCCCCAAATGGAGGCCCTAATTTTTAATTGTTGTCTATTAAAATATTCTTTTTAGCTTAATAAGTTAATTGGAATTGCTAGATCATGCATATTAAAGGAACTTGAAGGAACTGTGTGAAATATGTGTGTGTGTGTTTTAGTAATCATTTCATAGTCAGTCTAAATAAGTTGATATTGAGCAGGTTTTGTCTTCTATAAATTTGTGAATTTGGTGAGGAAGAACAGGCCCTGAAGATAGATACCCATTGCCTCATTCTGTGATTTCTGCTTATCCTTCCAGCAGGCGAGTCTAAAAAGGCCAACTTAAAGCTTTTGTCAAACTTTTACCTTCATATCTAGAGCACTTTCCAGAGAAAGAAGATCTAGGCTCTATCCCTCAGAGTGAGTTTGCACGCAGTTAAAGACCCGAGCCACATGCTTTTGTTCCTCACACAAGCAAACACATGTTGGATCATTCTGTGCTAATGAAGCAAGAGGCAGACATTCTCCCTGGCAGATACCCACAGAATGGCCTTGAGGGGGACACGTTTATAGTCAAATGGAAGAGTTTCTTTTCTTCTTTAAATGATTAGTTTTTCTGTTTTCCAATAATGACACCCCACCTTATACAATAATTTAGCAAGATTGTTCTTTGTACTCTGTCTTGCTACTGTGTAGAAAGCCTCCTTATTCACCATGTAGCAAAGCATTCAGTGTAAATGTCTCAATTTTCACCATTCAGTTCTCTAACCATCATTATATCTTCACAAAGTCTGAGTCCTCCATCACTGGGGCCTCGCCTGAAAAATTCTGGTTATGAGTTTAAAAATTAAGGAAATTATTTTTCATTAAAATGTCTGAGCCTTCAGGTAGCCCCAGCCACTGGGAAGACTGAGGTGGGATGGGTGTGGAGGACATGATAGACCTGGGCTACATCGTGAGTTCAAGGACAGCATGAATGAGTGAATGGGACCATGCCTGAAAATTGAAAAGTTACAGCATGGCGAGACTGCTTCAGTGTCGTGTAGTGTCAGCACACACAAAGCTCTGGAGTCAATACTCAGGACCACAAAAGAGGGTGGAAACTTATGTAAAACTAGTTACTGTCTCCTTCACATCTACCCAGTAGATTATCTTGTTTAACTTAACAGTTGTTAGGTCAATAAACAGTTAAGTTGAGACCCTATCTTATTTGCATTAAACATGGTATTTATAGAGAAATTTTAAAAATGAAAAAATTAATTTATGTATAATAGAAAGCATGGCATAACAGTTTTAAAAAGCATGGAAACATGATACTATAGAGAGACCTCAGCTCTGAGAAAATAAACCACCATTTGTAAGAAACTATTCTCAAAATCATGACAGTGAACAAACTAATTTACTGACAGGGAGATAATATCTGTGGGTAGTGTGATAAATAGATCAATAAACAGCAATTACAAAAAAACAGAGTCCCATTGTCCCCTTCAGGACCACTTTCTTTTAGGACTGTTTTCCATCTCTGTAAATTAATGTAATTTGGAGGAAGGCAACTGACCCAGCACTACTGTCTCTTATACACATAAGTTTCAATAGCTTTAATATGCCTGGGCTAACCAAAATAGATGAGTTTAATTAATTCAAAGGTCCCCTTTTATCCCTCCATAAAAATGAAAGAACATGACGTTCACATCCACTCTCACAGAAAAGAACATTTCACAGCCTCATTAGATTTCGCTAGAGCACACAGTCTCTCTCATTTTGCAAACTCACGCTTAGCTTTACACACACTGTAGCATGGCAGCTAATGAGGTAGCAGGCTGGACATGTGCCACCCCTAAAAACTGTGTGTATCTCCTTGTGAAGGACAGGCTTTCCTCATTGAAAGGTCAGTCTGTAGCAAATAGTATTAAGAAATTACCAATATGTTCAAATATTGTATTGTTTTTAGTTTCTTTCTGCAATGACAACTTAGAATGAACAGGAAGTACACATAAATAATGGGGTATTTTTGTGAATACTAGACTTATTTAAACTGCTGTATTTAACATTGGGTGACTTTTGATTTATTCATCAGACCCTCCTAACAAAAAATAAGCAAAAGAATCATTGTCAGGGTAATAATAGAAAAATAAGTGAAAATGACCACAGTACTTTTTTACTTTTTATTGCTTTTGTACAAGACATCTAAATGCTGTGTTGTGTTGACAGATCTGGGAAACTTTAGTGGCCGGACAAGAAGTGCAGTCTCTGTGAGGGAAGGCCAGGGGGTTGTTCTGATGTGCTCTCCGCCGCCTCATTCTCCAGGTACAGTAGCACCCTTCTATGTTTTCACTATTCTCATGCACTGTTTGTTCACTCTGGGGTGTGACAGGTGGCCAGATGACATGTACGTGGGTGCCATGAGATGTATCAACATGCATGAGTAATTAACAACCACACACCTTCCACAGCACCGAGTGGGAAGCTGCTCTCCTGTGGTACAGCTGTTTTCTTTTCTTTCTGTCCTCTGTTGTCACCATGCCTTTGCCGCCACTGGTGAGGACTATGTGGTCCAGAGCAAGAGACATGAAACCTCGCAAAACTGGTGGAAGTGTCGGATCTGAGTGACTGCAGAGAGGCCCTTGCTTCGGAGTACAAGCTCCCTAGGCGATTGCTGATGGTGTTGCTTGCAGCACGATACCCAAACTGCTAAGTTTCAAACAGAGCTCCAGTCACCTTATGTCTGTGTTAGCAATAGTCTTGCTTATCAAAGTGAGGCACAGAGGAAATCACCTCTTGGAGTGGTGGGAAACAGAACAGTAAACGATGCTACAAATCATTGTATACCCCTTTGCCAACTTGCCGCTAATTCTATTCATTTTGTTCAAGTCTGGTGGCTGGAAATGTGTATCTCTTGTATCTCAGTATATCCTCTCTGGAAAACAATTTAAGAGAGTCTGACATCAATTAATGGGCAGCCAGATGGTGAATTCTCAAAGCCACTGTAAGGAGCCTGGCTTTGACTCTAAATAAGTCTGCATGTTAGCCTGCTCGAGCTGCCAGATCAAAATGCCACAGGGTGGATGGCTTCAACAACAGGGACCTCTTTACAGTTCTGGCTGGTAGAATTCTAATGGGAGGGTGGGCATGGGCAGGGTTTGTTGAGGGCCCTATCTCTGACGTGTAGATGACTTACTTCCCTGCTGTGTTCCTATGTGAGAGAACACTAGAAAGGACTGAGGGACAGAGTGGGTTTAAGCCACCATCTGGCTGCATAAGGTTTCTCCATTTTCTTCCTGTCTTGACCAATGAGCCTCAAGTAACCAGGCACACTCCTGCCCTAGCTGTCCCCCAGGCCTGCCTCTCTCTCTTGCAGGCATACAGCCGCATCTGTCCTTCACAGCCACACCTTCTTAGCAAGGCTTTCCTAACCTCTAGTGTTTCCATTTTTACCCCTGCTTTGTTTTCTCCACAGTATCCACCATTTAATACACTGTATAAATGTATTTACTCTACAATGTCATTTTCCATTATCCTCCGTTATAGTGGAAATCCCACCAAGACAGACATCTTATAGGCTTGGCTCCCTCTTGCACCCACATGCCAGAGATCAGCACAGAATTGGGGCTGAAAACATTAATAAGTGAATCTATGCACATGTTCAGGAATGAAAGTCATATGTTAAAGTTTTGGGCAGAAATGACTGTCAGAAACTTGGACATAGAGTGTAAGTAAGAATAGTGCAAGGAGGATGAGCTGTGTGTTAAGCAAGCCTTTCTGGTGGCCTCCCTTTTGCCTCCTTGTTTTGTAAATGAAGACAACCTAGAAGCAAAAAAATGAACTCAGATTCATAGCATTGGCATGAAAACCATATTATAACATTTGATATTCTCACTAAAGCAGGGACTGAAACTTGAAATGTTAGAGGTCACTGTGGCTGAGAAATAAAAATTCTGTTCTAGGGCCATGCTCCTTCTACTAGACAGAGCACTTAGGAAATGCCTTGGGAAAGTGTATTCTAAATAATTGCTGTGGAGTCAGGTCAGGGGAAATGGGGGCCCAGGCTGGGTCTCTGCATCACCATGCACAAGCTCTAACTTCATCAGTGGCCTTGGCTTTGAACACATGAAACTAAGAGCTGTGAAATCAGGAAATAACCATAACCTGATGTGAAATCAACATCTCAAACCCGAATTCTGGTCTCGTTCAAATGGTGATGCCAGAGCTCGCAGGGCATGTGCTTTGCTAGATTTTTATTAAGGTTTGTTTCTCTTCTTTTCCTTCCTTGTTTCAAAACATATTTTTTCCCATTTCACTTAGGAAAATTTTATTATGTGACATAAAGTATCAGAATAAAATCTGTAGTAATCTTTGTACTTCTTGTAGGAAGCTGGCATTTCTTTCATGCTATGGCCCTCTCCATGCTCCAATTCATATCCCCAATATGTAGCGCAATGCCTCGTACTTAGTGGGTGCTTCATTGAAAGCACAGGGAATTCCTGAGTAAACCCACTGGCTCCTCTGATTGAGTTTCAAAGCATTTAATCAGACATCAGCTCCCTGCTATTAGTTTATTGGAGCCCATATCCATGACAGACACTTGGGTCATTTCCTACAACATTCTAACACTGCTGTTTCAAAGTAGAGTGGTGACTTGATTCCCTGAGAGCTGTAGGAAGTGATGAAACCATCAGAGAGGATTCAGTAGTCAGAAATACCTCAAAGGACTAAGTCTCATTCTCTCAAAAGGATGTAGAAAGCACATTTTTCTTTGGATCTCAATGAAAACTATGATGGACTCTTTTACTAAATTTTTCTTTTACTGTCCAAGAGATGATCATGAAAACATGTCTAGTAACATGTGAGGAAAACATCTTGCCTACATGCTCAACTGTTCACTTCTCTAGAAGGGAGCAGTTTTCTACCCAGATACTGTTAAACTAATTTTCCCAAACTGATTTTCATTTAACAAAACTAAACTTCTGTCTGTTCAAATATTTTGAAATTCAAAGTATTATATACAGGGGGGAAAATTTGTGTAAAAGCATAGAAAAAATCCTCCTAAAAAGTACCTTTAACATTAGTTATTGATTTTAATTAATTATTGTTTCTGGCTTGTAGAAACATTTTGTTCTATATCCCAGACTGAAACATGTGGGTATGTGCAGGATGTGTGTGTGGAGGGGGAGTGGTGTGGTGTGTGTGTGTGTGTACATGTGTGTGTACACCATTCCTCTGACTAGCTTCAAGTTGGCTATCCTTGAACTAACAGAATCACCATGCTGAAGCTGTGGGAGAGCTAGGATTGGAGATATTTGCCAGCACCTTTTCCTTGCTAAATAAAGCAGTGGTTACTATATCATCTCAAGTATATCATGGCTTAATTACGTACAGAAATATTCAAAAGCTTACACTGAGATGTAAAATTTCCAGGAGAAAAAAAAAAAAACAGGAAGCTGTAGAGCCTCAGGATTTGGCTCAGTTAGTGGAGGGCTTGCCAAATATCCATGGAGCTCATCATTCTATCTCAATACCAGGAATAAAAAGCTTAAGTCTGTAACTTGAGTTTTCCTGCCTTGCCCACAGTCAGGACAAATCTTTGTCACCCGCCAGTCCCATAGCTGCTAGGACCCAACCAAGTAAACACAGAGACTTATATTGCTTACAAACTGTATGGCCGTGGCAGGCTTCTTGCTAACTGTTCTTATAGCTTAAATTAATTTATTTCTATAAATCTATACCTTGCCACGTGGCTCGTGGCTTACCGGCATCTTCACATGCTGTTTGTCATGGCAGCGGCTGGCAGTGACTCCTTCTGCCTTCCTGTTTTTTCTTTTCTCCTCTGTTAGTCCCATCTATACTTCCTACCTGGCCACTGGCCAATCAGTATTTTATTTATTGACCAATCAGAGCAACTTGACATACAGACCATCCCACAGCATAAGTCTATAAGAATATACATTTGAATATGCCACTCTACAGTACAGTCATCACACTGTCCTCAGAAATGGCTCTGACATAGAAGTTGTCATCCTCATGGTACCAATAATGAGCCAAGCTTCAGAAACATTCTATGAAGGACTACAGTTCACTAATTTAAATATTAATATTTCATTTGTTGTTTGAGGATGTATGCAAAAATATTTATGTATATTTAATGTTTTGAATACCTTATTTTATACTTATTTTTAAATTTAATACATGAATGCAATAGATTTAGATAAAATGCACCCTTATCTCCTAATCTCCAACTCCTCCCTGGTCCTCTACCACATCCTCTTCCCAACTTCATGTCTTCTCCTCCTCATCTTCCTCCTCCTCTTCCTCCTTCTCTTCTCCTCCTCCTCTTCCTCCTCCCCCTCTTCCTCTCCCTCTTCTTCTTACTGACTCTTATTTAGTGTTACCCATGCACACACAGCAGAGAATGGCTACACCTCTATTGGCTACACCTCTGAAGAAAACTACATCAGTCTCCCACATCAGCCATCAACCACTGAAATCTCCACAGCTGCTTCAAATGTGTGTGCTCTTGACAATTTATGTGTTCATTCGTTAGCCAAAGTAATTTTGAAGATAAAAGAAAACCTAAAAGCCGGGCGGTGGTGGCGCACGTCTTTAATCCCAGCACTCAGGAGGCAGAGGCAGGTGGATCTCTGTGAGTTTGAGGCCAGCCTGGTCTCCAAAGCGAGTTCCAGGAAAGGCCCAAAGCTACACAGAGAAACCCTGTCTCGAAAAAAAAAAAAGAAAAGAAAAGAAAAAAAGAAAAAAAAGAAAACCTAAGCCTCTGGCCAGTGTCTTTATTAGCCCAAATTGGCTAATGAAAAGGTTAGTTAAACTGTGAATACAGTCAGTCTTAACTACAAGTAGGTACCCCAAGCCACCATACGATGGCAAAAACAGAGTTCTAGGGCATGACTAACATAGAAGAGGAGGGATTGAGATTCCTCAGACAGAATGCTTAGGGCTTAGGGTGTGGTCAGCAGAAGCGGTAGGCTAAGTGAGTTTTTCTTTATTTTGTCAGCACTGTGGGGAGAAAATAATGTTGATTAGTGTGTTTTTAAGATACCACCTGGGTTCAGTAGCTGTTGAATGTAGGCAGAATTGGAAGATTTATGTGGCAGAGTGTAAGCACATTGCTAGTAGTATCTGAGATTACAATTTTTCTTCACCTGATTATGTAGTGAACTGTTCAGGTGGGGCAGCTCCACCAGCACTTTGATGAGTGTTTAAGTTTATCAAACCTGCTCAGTGTAGGAGCTCCAAGTTTGTGCACCTCTACATGACCAGAACACAGTGGCTCTGCAGCACAAAAGGTGAGGAGCCAT